TGTAGAAATCGAATATTCAAGCTGTTTATTAATTTTTCCACCCATGAACGAAAAACGAAAATTTAAGCTGAATTTTCGTTTTTTCCAAAAAAACGAAAAAGGAGCCGTTTTCTCATTTTTCTACTTTCAATATTAAATCAAAAAACGAATGATCGAATGATACATGGATTTATTCAGACCTTTCGGAATATTTTGTGTTCTATGGATTGTGTAAAGTAATTGAAGAACGGCATTGCTGACATTTGATCTAGTCTGTCATTGTTTCTCTAGACCAGTGATCCTCAAATCTGGCTCGCGTGATCCACTTTCCTGCAGAGTTTAACTCCAACCCTATAATCAAACAAACCTACCTGTGATTTTCTAATGATCCTGAAGACATTGATTAGCAAACTCAGGTGTGTTTGATTAGGGTAGAGCTAAACTCTGCAGGAAAGTGGATCACGCGAGCCAGATTTGAGGATCACTGTTCTAGATGTTTGCTAAAGTGTTGCTTGTTGGTTGCTAGGATATTCTGGGTGGTTGCTAGGCTCTTGCTATGCAGTTGCTGGGGTGTTGCTAGAGTATATGGTTGATAGAGTTTGTTCTGAGTGATTACAGACATTCCCACCTCTGTTAATAACAGAAAATCAAACATTGTTTTCAAAACTGATCCAGTTTCAGTGCTTTGATATTATTGTATTTCTTTCTAATGTTAGGAAATTCAAAAGTTTTTTGTTGCTCTTAAACTTGCTCTAAAACGTGATTTATACGTGAAGTATGTAATTTTAATAGAACCGCATGTCTTTGGTGATAAAAGCTCAGAAACTTTTATAACCTGTTGAAGTTTTTTATATTGTGCATTGACTTGGTGCCATGATGGATATTGAAATGTTGTTATTTATTTTTCATTTTAAACAGTATAGATGATTACTTAATGGTAATACAATATTTGTGAACACAACTGTGTTTGTCAGACCATAAATCCCCAAAAACTATGCATGGGGGCTTGCTTTTGTGTTGCCACCCCTCATAGACCCCATGCCACCCCTTTGCCACCCTAAAAATTATTTTCTAGATCCGCCCCTCTACTTTACACTGTCAAAAATCTGGGAAAAATTAAAAATTAAATAGTGCACAATGTACTGTATTAATATGAAGGAATTTTCCATTTTTTTTTTTTTTTTTTTGTCCAGGTGCTTTACCTGTATTTTGAATGTTGCACTTCATTTTGTTAACTCAATGGTTAACTGAAATGTCCATAAAATTACTGGATAATGTCCTGGCAGAAAATTACCAGTACATTTTCTTTTCTTTTTTTTTCTTCTTTTTTACAGTGTAGAACATGTCAGAACTTTAAAATGCATATGATATATAAAATGAGAACAAATATTACTCCTTAGAAAAAGAATACTAAAAAAGCCCTAAGATAAATATTTCTGTACCTCTGGACAACATCTGAGCTGGATAACTTCACACTCATTTGAAATTGAGACATTCTCAATATTTAACATGAGTCGACATACACCACATGATCTCAAGCATAAATATAAGCATAGTGCACATCGACACAAACATAGTACAGCAACAAACACTGATTTCCAATAGCAGAGCAAGCGACCGAGAGCAGTGGTGACTTGCGAGAGAGACTCGCTCTGTTGTTTGGGAGTGTGGGCGAGAGCTGTAGTGAGCTGTGTCTCATTTCTTGCATCATCAAGGCTGTCTCATTTCAGAAAAGCAACCATTACATTCCAAAGTAAGAATGAAACTACATTAATCACGCCTAACAAGGAATAACAGTCAATGCTGGCTACATTACATTTTGCTTTTAGACACACAATTGCAAAGTTCTAAGCACTTCCCCTCGGGGAGCCCCTAAGCACTTCATCCTCACCATTTTGAAGTGATCCACTTTGTCAAGTGTATGAGGGAGGTGTATATGGAGAGATCCTGGAACCCTTGATTTTGACCAAGGGAGCGAGTCTACTCATAAACCTCAGGCAGGTCCATATGCCACAAAAACAACATAATTGTGACATGACAGAAGGTTGCGTATCCTACCTAGGACACAGCCTTTGAAATGAGACACATGCAGCTACGGTGTCTTCACCAGCTTTGAGAGTAGACTCATATATGTGGATCCAAAAGCGTGATGAAAACCAACAACGGAATGCCAAACCCACACACAAACAGGCCGGGTTCAAAACCAGAGAACAACGAACACTTAGCTTGGTAAACCGCAATATGAGGGTCAAAGACTGTGGACACATGGTAGGGTGGCACAGAAACAAGACTTGGCACCAAACAAAGGAGACAGTTAGAGTTAGCCTACTTGAATAAATATTTGATTTATTTGATCATTTGTACGTTTATGCAAGATTACAGTCGACAGGAAATGGAAGTTGTGATTGTTTTTCTTTCCTATTGTGACACATATCCAAGTGAAAAGCTACTTGAATGAGAGCAAAAAAAAAAATGTAGGGCGGGACTTGATTGATTCTTTGCCATTTGCTATATTGCTGTGATCTCATGAGAGTGGCAGGTTGCTGGATGGGTCCCTGGATTGTTCCGCATTCTTGCAAATGTACACATCATCAGAGAAGAGATGTTATTGCAAGGGGCAGGGGAAGTTAATGTTATTGATTAAAGTTTACAAGGGCACAATAAAAATGATATGAACAATTTGAATCGATTTTTGATTTCATGGTGACTTTAAATTTAGTTGTATTCCATTCATTTCTCAGATTTTTAGAAAGATGTATTATTTACCCTGCCAAATAGTTTACCAAGCATAAATGCATGTATTTAGCCTACTATCCTGAGTTTTCTAAAATATATATATATATATATATATATCCCTCTAATATTATTATTCCCACACAGTAATATGCTAATAAAGTATTTACATTCCTTTTGGATTTCATTTTGGATGTGTGTGTGTGTGTGTGTGTGTTATGATGACAATATGATTGAAAAATACTACACAGTAGGTTCAAAAACATCAAAACTGTATAAACAAGTATAAAACTAGTGTTTCAGTTGAGACTTTACATTCTCATTTTATTTTTGCTTATTTTTCTACTACATATTGTGGACAATGCATCACATTATGAACACTTCTACAGTATATCAGTTTTTTTGCCTTCTAGAAGCTTAAATGAGAGCTCCGTAATATCACGTGATTTCTGGGAAGAGCGGCTCTTCTTTTGAAATGAATGAAACTGGCAGAAAGGAAATTGGCTGGATGAATGTACCAAAGTGGGCGTGGTTTATCGTCCTGTTTAGCGTTAGTTGTATCTGCTACGCTATGATTGCTCAATAAAGATGTTACATAACACCTACTCATGTTGCAGTGAATAATATGCGTTATTACCTGGAAGTGGCGTAGTTTACGGAGGGAGTGGGCCGTAAGTAACGTCACGTGGTACTTAAGACTTTTCTCATCGCTGGTGAAGTCGGCCCAATCACTACGTTGAGGGGGGACGAAGGGAGAGGACTTTTTAAAAATTATTTTACAGTAAACGTTGGCAATGTTTGTATAGAATGCATTGACCGTATGCATATATTTACATATTTCATGAATAATTTACAAATTCAATAATATAGTGTGGTAACTCGGCGGTGAGCCGACGAGCGCCCCCTCCAGATGTAAGTGGCAGTTATATATTGAACAGCTTCGGTCGCTCCACTGCTTTGCTTTCAGGAATTTATAGTGCGATGGGCTGGACTGACTGTGATCTGCAGAACGGCTGACATTAGACAGGACCGAAACTAAGGTAATCGAAACTACAAACAAACTACATAGCCTAAGTATTTTCACAAAGTTTAAACAAAAATACTGTTTTACTCCGCGAATTTATTTAAACACACAGCTATGATGCTACATTGATTTGGAATGGATGATTTTAGAAGTAACTGTTGAAATTATTAAATACCTTGTAGTATTACTATTTGATTTTCATTCTCACGAGTTGTTAGTAACGTTAGATCGTTAAAGATTATTTTAAGTAGATCGCTGAATTGTAAGATTTACAAAAAGTAATGTGGCGGTACCTTGGTACAGTTGAGGTAACGTTAACGTTATATGGTTAATGATTTACAAATCAGGACCGCCGCTCCCTATACACGGAGAGCGCAGCCTACTTAGGGCACTACCAAGGGGGCACCGGCGGCGATTTCTATCGTGGGTGATTACCACATTAATTGAAAATATTTAATAATCTGTGGGTAATTACAATTGAGAAATTTTGACTCAAGTGTGCTTTCTTACAACGAACTCTCATGGCCCCCGTTGCTCCCATAAGGCCAAAAATCTTTGAACCACATATAAAACAAAATGAATGTGCTCAGAATACATCAATTAATTCAGAAATGTTACTCATTTACTTTCTCTTCTTTGTGGAGATAAAATTGGCACAAAAACTGGCTGTATGATATAAAAATAAGAGAAGTCTCTCAAACTGCTGCACTGACAAAGAAAAATGGAGATGATATGCAGAACCTGAGACAGAGTGAAAGAAAGAGTCCTGATAGAGATTGAGGACTTTCATAAGGTAAGATAAAAGAACAGGTTTAAGGGACCATGGCCAGATTAAAGAAACATCCAGAGCAAAAGTTTAGACTGATCAGTTACGTTTGGTTACTGCTGAATAGGTGCTGAAAATGTCAAATATTAAAACTGTAATCCACTTTCGTCCAGTTTGATTAGCAGTTCTTTAATTTGGCTGACCAATCAAAAATGAATAAAAAATTAGAGTATTTATTTATTTACATATAAATACATCCAATCATGGTACTTTTAGGTACTTTTTATTAGTGAAGTTGTGACAATTACTCACTTCCGTGAACTGTCAATGTATGATATAGGCTACTTGACTTTCTTAAGACAAATCAGCAGTTGACAATCAATGTGTTTTTCAGATGGCATCTGGAAGGATTCGTTCCACGCGTCGCCTGCGTTCCTGGATAGTGGAACAGGTGTGTGTGTTTATGTGTGCACTATGTTGAGTATTTCGGAGGATCTGAATTTATGGAATTGTATTAATACAGAAGATCAGATGAAAGAGCCATTCATGCAATGAGATCCACTGGCTCCAAATCTATTGAGCTGCCTACCTAGAGAGCAGTTTAGATATCCTTAAACTGAAGGAGGCAGATTATGCTGTAGATATGCATCCTTTATGGATTAATGTTGTACTAGATGCACTTTTTTCCTCCCAGAAACATCCATTTTTAGATGGTGTTTTGTATTTGGTTTAATGACACGGTGAACTTTGATTCATCATATGGCTTTCTTTTTACCACTTGTGTTTTTAAGGTTGATGTAAGTAATATGAAGATAAAAAAATATTTTAATAATTTGGTATATTAACATTATTTCAGTTAATAATTATTTATTTTCTTTTTTTTTACAGTAAATTTAAGGTCAATCTGTAAAACTTAAAATGTTAACAGGTCAGAATTTTGCACCCCACAGCCAATTCTAAAGATTTCATTGATCGTGTCAATCACAGTTAGCTGGTAGCACAGAGCATTACTGTTTATCATGATCGGATTCATCCATCATTTTTCTAAATTCTAAGTTGAATCCATGAAGTCTGAACATTTCTTGACAGATGACTGGGTGATTGAGGTGACCAGTTAAAAGAAATCATGCAATGCATTAGCCTACTTGTAAACCTCTCATGTTTTGAGACATGCTCTTTTCCTGCTGCAGTTTGCTGTCTTTCAAATGTGTTTTATCATATAACAACCACTAGTGCTTCATGGTATGTTTTTGTTTGTTGTTGATGACTTTTGGGTTGTTTCTCTATTTTGTGTGTGCTTTGGGATGTAGGTGAACAGTGGGAAGTATCACGGCCTAGTGTGGGACAACACTGAGAAAACCATGTTTCGTATCCCATGGAAACATGCAGGAAAACAAGATTTCCGAAGTGAGGAAGATGCAGCTATATTCAAGGTGCAAATGTGTCTCTATCTTTCTCTCTGTGTCTTTGTTTTTTAGTTTTTACACAATGCACAACTTCCCAAGTGTGAGTGCTACCTTGTGCACTGAACAATTAAACCCCTTTCACACTGCACGTTGGTCCCGGAAAAAAATTGCCGGAGTGCCTTCTGTGTGAACACAAACACGTCCCGGGATTGATTCCGGGATCAATCCCGGGTTGGGGACCTAGTAACATTGCCGGGATCCGTCCCGGAACGAGCCCTGTGTGAACAAAAGCCAGAACCAATGCCGTAAAGGGTGTGTCGTAGTGATGACGCACGTTATCGTGCGACTCTTTTACCGGGTGTTTTGACGGCAGATCAACGTTCACTATGAAAAAATATGTGCAAACTGGTATGAAGCAGAGATCAGGGAGCTCCTCACTATCCGCGCTGAAGCTGAGATCGTTCGCCAGCTTAGTGAAACGGTACGCGTCACATTGTATGTGTCTTTACGGGATCTTTACGGGATGTGTGTGAATGCAGACACAGATTCCAGAAAATCACTGGCAGTGTGAATGAACCAAAATCAAACGATCCCGGGACAAATCACGGAACACATTATCCGTGTATTTTCAGGAATCTCTGTGTGAAAGGGGCTTAAGTGCAGTCATTTGCAAACTCAAGCGATGACTTCTAGACATCTAATCATAACCGAAGTAAAAATAACATGTTGATGATAAATAATTTACACATGTATGGTCAGTATTAATTAGAAAAGGAGTTTCATCTGTAATTTACTTATTTTAAGTAAATGACAATGATGTTAAATCAAGATGGTGCCACAAATGGCAGCCACGGCACTGAGCTCTGCAATTCTTCTGCTGATTTTGTTTGTTTGTTCTGTGTTTAGTCATTCTTCTTCTATAAGTTTTACCAGAGACAAACCCTTTAACATTAAGCAACACATCCCAGACAATATTTTTCCGGTCTTTGATTATTCAGACGTTTTGTTGGACATTCTAGTCGGAGGTGGCGTGGTGCTGTTCAAAGCAGGCCCGTTTCTAGGCATAGGCAAACTAGGCGGTCGCGACTGTGGAACATCACCTAGTACAAGACACCACACCCACAGTCTGTGGAGAATCAATAACTGGCTGACGATCTGAATGTGTTTTACTGCCGGTTTGAATAGCCCAGTCTCATACCCCCCACCCGCTCTGATCTGCACTTCACACATACACCTGTGTGTGCTCTCCCCACTGCTCTTCTCCCTATATACGAACAAATTCACTGCAAAGCTCCTGAAATTTGCAGATGACACTACCATCATCGGCCTCATATACAACAGAGATGAGTCTGCTTACAGACAGGAGGTTAAAGAGCTGGCTATCTGGTGCAGTCACAACAACCTGGAGCTGAACACGCTCAAAACAGTGGAGATGATCGTGGACTTCAGGAGGAACCCCCCCTGCACTCCCCACACTCACCATTATGAACAACACTGTGGCAGCAGAGTCATTCAGATTCCTGGGCACCACCATCTCTCAGGACCTGAAGTGGGACACTCACATACAGTAGACTCCATTGCTAAAAAGGCCCAGCAGAGGTTGTACTTCCTTCGCCAACTGAGGAAATTCAGCCTGCCACAGGAGCTGCTGAAACAGTTCTACTCAGCCATCATTGAGTCCGTCCTGTGTTCATCCATAACTATCTGATTTGGTTCAGCTACCAAATCAGACATCAAGAGACTACAACAGACAGTCAGGACTGCTGAGAAAATTAGTGGTTCCCCCTGCCCAACCTCCAAAGTCTTTACACTTCCAGAGTGAGGAAAAGGGCTAAGAAAATCACTTTGGACCCCACACACCCAGCCCACTCTCTCTTTCAACTGTTGCCCGCTGGTTGGTGCTACCACCAGAACATCCAGGCACAAGAAAAATGTTTTCCCACAGGCTATATTCAGCCTGAACAATTAAAACTTTCATAACTATACATTGTCCATTATAACTGACACATCTAAAAATTGTACATTTGTAAACTACATAAACTGTACTGTGTACACTTGTAAAATAACATATCTGTACATTCATTAAAACAATATTTCTACTTCTGTATTATATTGCATTATTTAATTTTCTGTTTTTCTTATATTAGTTATATTTCATCTCCACTGTGTAATTTCTATGTATGTCTGCACTATCATGTATGTTTGCACTATGTCTGTACTTTCTTCTGCACTGGAAGCTCCTGTCGCCAAGACCAATTCCATGTGTGAGTAAACATACTTGGCAATAAAGCTCTTTCTGACTGACCTCTTACTTGAGCGTTCAAGCCATTTGAAAGTTGTTGATTGAAATTTTCATTTGAACTTTTTCCATTGAAGGCTTGGGCGGAGTTTAAAGGGAAGCTTTTGGAGAATGGAAATTCAGACCCTGCATCCTGGAAAACTCGACTTCGCTGTGCCCTCAACAAAAGTCCAGAGTTTAGTGAGGTCAATGAAAGGTCACAGCTGGACATCTCAGAACCCTACAAGGTGTACCGCCTCGTACCACTAGAAGAACAAGGTAACCAATGGATTTGGAAAATATATGGATATTACCAAGGTTGCCAACTTTCACGCATTTTGCGTGAGTTACACTTTCAGGCTCTTTCTCACGCTTCTTCAGTCTCTAAACTTCTCGCCAATTAACAAAATGACATAAAATAAATCCCTAACTTTGCTCATAGCATTTTTCCCATTAGCATGTGGCTTGATTGATCTACAACAGATATTCCGGTCTAAAGTGGCAATATTCCACCATCGAAAATATTTCCTGTTACTTCATAAGCTAGCTGTATAGGTTGCATGTTCTATTTGGTCTGTTAATTTCACAATGTCACAGGCCACTATGGTGGATGAGAATTTTTGATTAGTTGAATATGTGCGCTGTGGCATGAAAAACCTGATGAATGTGATGTCATTTATAATAGTGAAAAACATGTTAGTACCATAAAAGACATTTGAAAAAATGACAAGAGGCCACAGAGCAAATCACATTGATATTGTACATAATCTAAATTGTCTTGAACGTCAAATAGATTTAATTTGGGCTGTTTACTACATCAGGTGCCCATAACAGTGCTTGTGCTGTTTCATGCACTTGAGAGATGCTTTCCTCAGCGCATTAATTACATTACTCTTATATACATATTTACATTTCACAGAACAGTTTTCCATAATAATAGCAAGTAAGACTTATTTTCTTTTTGCTTTATTTAAAAAAAATTGGCTGGTAATAATTCTGACTTGCTGGAAAATGATCTGATACCCTGAAGGATTTAAATTTCTCATATTCTTTAAGTAACGGTTGCTTTTCAGTCTCTCTCAGTCATCAATGGTCTGCACGGTCATGGGAAGAATTGTTAGACAAGCAGAGTCATTTCCCAAATCTTCAATATTTAAGCAGTTTACACAATTTATACTTTGCATAGAAAAAAAACCCCCACTCATCCTGGGTTTTTTCCCCTTCAGAGGGTGCACAAAGGTAAAACAATCCAACATGACTATTAAGCCACTTACTAGAGATGTGTAAAATGAAAAAGATGTGTAAAACTAATTGACTAGTTGTCAATAGTGAGGTTGGCTAGCTAGTTGGTTTGTAAGGTGTCTTTCTGCAGTCTGTTGTTTGTTCTTTATGTTCTGTCTGTAAGTTTTTTTTTTAATGTAGAAATAGTATTCTGTATAGTATTCTGCAACATTAATTAAACAAACACAACTGGTTGATTATGAAAATTCGCAGTTTTGCACATCCCTACAACTTTCATTTACAGCAAAACGTCTGTGATGACTACATTGAATATGTAAAGGAATTACAATTTGTTATTATTTAGTTAATGTTCCTTTCATCATAGGAGTGGTAAAAGTAAAAAAAGAGAATGGACAGAAGCAAGTGAGGAGCAGCAGAAGGAGACGCAGTGAATCCGAGCAAGATGAGCAGCAGATTGCATGCAAAAAGATCAAAGAGGAGGTTTTTGTGCCCCAGCCCATCAACATGGTAAAAACATCCAGCACATCATAACTAATCATTGAGGAACTATGTCGTTCAAACTTTAATTAAGTTGCAATTTGCAATTTGTTATGAGTCGATAACATGCATTGAGAGACATTTAGCTTTCCACAGCTTGGTTTTGCAATGCAAAGTATGAGTCTACAATTAATTGGGCACTATTTCTGCTTTTTACAGAGTGCACAGGAAATCATCCCACTCACAGGAAGAGAGATCACACTCCAAGCAGAGGTGGAGACAAACCCCTTAAAGACTGACCAAAGTAATAATCTAATTTTACTCTATGAATTTTACCCTGTTGTTCAACTTGCATGGTTCTTTAGTAATTAATGTTGATAATGCAAAGTTGGTGAATGATTTATTATCATTCTTCTCTTTCTTGAGACATTGAAGATATCCAGGTAAACTTCACCATTGAAGCTGTAGAGAAGAGAGGTGATTAAATATAACATTTGTGACCCGTGCTGGCAAAATGAGTCGGAATGTGCATGGGCTAATTTTGAGCTACAGGCAAAAAAACGTCGATTTTGAGGTTTTCACAAAAATGAGTTCATTAAACCCTTGTCTAGCGATCCCAATGCTCCAAATAATCATTTTAGATGTTTAATTACCTTTATTTGTTGGTTTTCTGAAAGGAGTACCTTTTCTCTGCTCGTTTCTTGCGCTGACTGTCATCCGAAGTCATCCTGATAAATATAATTGAATGCTTTTGTTTATATGTAAACTGAAAAAGGTAATGCATTATTTGTTTCTTTCTTATATTTGTTCTACTGTTTTATTTTTGCATCTGTTCTTATTTATAAAAACAAAGATAAAATAAAAAATAGCTATACTGTGATTATTAATATAGTAATTATTATTAAGAAAATAACTGGAGGAAAAGACGCAGCGATGCAGGTGATTTTGCTTTGGAACCTTCAGAAAACTTGAACTCGATTTTTCTCAAAATTGACTTTGCTGACTCTATCGACTTCAAACAGGTGTAGCTCAGTCATTTGTCGTCCGATTCCAACAAATCATTCATCATTCTGAAAGTCTTTTAATGGAGAATGTGAACATAAAAATAACTCATTTTTGAAAATTTGCTCATTGTGACTCATTTTGCCAGCACAGGTCACATTTTATTTATTGATTAGAAAAAATCTAATCTAACTCTTGCCAAATGGTTTCCTAAAACTCTTTTGTTCTTTCAGTGCTGCACTCTTTCCACATAACCGTGCTCTACATTGGTCAGGAGGTTCTGCGGCGAGAAGTAATGGGTAATGATGTTCGGATCGCTTACCTGCCTCCCTCACCTGTCCCTCCATCTCCACCGTCTCTAAACGGCGCTGGCTTCCATCGAATCCCTCTCCCAGACCCCCCATCAGACATGAGCTCTGACCCCAGCCTCGCCCCACGTTTGACCGCTCTTAACAAATTGCTGCCCTTCATGGAGAGTGGAGTAGTCCTGACCTTGACAGGAGGAGCCATCTATGCCAAGCGCTTCTGTCAGGGACGGGTCTTCTGGAGAGGACCACATAACACCACCACAGGACCCTGTAAAATGGAGAGAGCAGGCGAGCCCACCCAGCTGTTCAGCAAGGATATATTCAAACAGGGTAAGTGTTTCACAAGCATATTATGTGCACTGTATAAATAAAACTGGTCATTCAAATTTCTACGCTCCTTATACTTCTTTGGCTTAAATGTTCATTTAAAAGGCGTCAGTTACGTAGTAATTGTGGTTCACCGATATATCTGCAATTTTTAATTATCGCATCGACCGATGCATTTTTCTGTTTGGCCATTGTGTCGGAAGTGGGACTTTTATTTTTACAACACTCAGAATGTCATTCTTCATTAGTGTACTGTCTCTGTTTAATTGCCTATTAAATTATTACACAGAACTGTTAAACAAAGAAAGTAAACCATATACAAAAAGTATAATGGCATTTGCTATTATACTTCAATTATTATTAATAGAAAGGCAAACGCTATATGTGACCCTGGACCACAAAACCAGTCTTAAGCCTAAGTCGCTTGGATATATTTTTAGCAATAGCCAAAAAACCATTGTATGGGTCAAAATTATCGATTTTTCTTTTATGCCAAAAATCATTTGGGTATTAAGTAAAGATCAAGTTCCATGAAGATATTTTGCAAATTTCCTACCGTAAATATATCAAAACTTAATTTTTGATTAGTAATATGCATTGCTAAGAACTTCAATTGGACAACTTTAAAGGCGATTATTTTGATTTTTTTCCACCCTCAAATTCCAGATTTTCAAATCGTTGTATCTCGGCCAAATATTGTCCTATCCTAACAAACCATACATCAATGGAAAAATTATTTATTCAGCTTTGAGCTGATGCATAAATCTCAATTTCACAAAATTGACCCTTATGAC